TGGCCGGCCATGCTGCACTGGCGCGAGTACTCGGACAGCGTGGCACAGCTGCAGCTTGGCCTGCCTGGCTGGGCACACGTGGCCATGTCTGCCTGGCAGCTCAGCACGAACGGCTCCTTGGGCACGGTGCACTCCGAGGACACCAGGGCCAGCAGGTGGGTGCAGATCCGGGCCTGGCAGAGGGCCAGTGGGGGTCACGGGTCAGGCCCCACCCCATACTCTGCTGGGGACTTGGCTGTTGGGGTGAGCCGTCACTGGCTTCATAGACCCCGCCAGACCTGTGGTCAACCCCGCTATGGCCTCACGTACGTGCTGGACCTGCAGGATCAGGGGGCTGGGGATGGCCTCGTAGGCACAGATCTCGTTGGGGTCATCCAGCTTCTGGAGGGCAGCATACTTGTGGGGCTCCAGCAGTTTGCCTAGGGGCGTGGGAAGGGGGAGGGTCAGCACTGGGCTGGGCCAGTGGACGGGGCCCAGCCCAGTGCCCACCGCCTACCGTCCTCGCTCAGGAACTCGTTGGTTGTCTTCCCGTCGAAGTTCCCACACAGCCCGCACATCTGCCCCATGTACTTCCTCTCCACCAGGACCTGTGGGCGGGATGGACGCTGCTGGCCCTCCGGGGGCTGGGGGCCGCTCCCAGGGCCCAGAGCACCCCGTCTGCCCACCGTGCTCCGCCTTGGATGTTGTGGCTGATGGCCTCTGCTCTCAAGGAGAGGGAGAGCCATGAACAAAGCACAGACCTGGCCCGGGCTGCTGGCCCAGTGAGCTCTGCTTTGCAGGAAGGGCCTGGCTATGTTGCAGTTCAGGCCCTCAGCAGGGACTGTGGGCCGGGTGCCCCCTTGGGCCCTGCTCGGCCCCTGGGCCGTGGCTCAGGCCCGTCCTCACCATGAGGTGGGCGTCTGGCCCCCATATGACCACCAGCTCCAGCTCCAGCTGCCTGGCCACCAGCCGCACACTCTGGCCAAAGGGTGTGATCTGCAGTCCGTTGCTGGTGTAGGGGAGGTGGACGACCCTGTGGGCCAAGAGCAGTCAGTGGCTACCCGCTTGGCGCTTGGCTGCCCAGCAGGCCCAAGGCCTACCCGATGTCCCTGATGGAGATGGTCGCCTCGTTCACAGTGACGACAGAGGCCCCCAGCTCCACGATGACCCGTGAGATGTTCCCGCCTGGTCCTCGCCGCAGCTGGACACTGAAGGTGGGCGAGGCGTCCTTGCAGGCGGCTGCAAAGATGTAGTTGCAGGTCCCCGAGAAGTCGTACAGGTGCTGGTCAAAGGTGGAGAAGTGGCCGGCTCCCCACGTCGCACACCAGCCCTTGTCTGGAGCTGCAGAGACGGTGCAAGCTCGTACCCCGGCCGAGGGGTCTGGACTCTCCTCCAGGGGGTGGGGTGGTTAGAGACCTGGCCTCCTCATCCCCAGGCCATGCTCCAGGCCCACCCACTGTAGACTGGGGTCCGCCCCCTGCCCCGTGCCTTACAGGAATGCAGGCCACCCTTGTCATCAGTGGGGTCTCTCGCACCATCGGCCTCGTCCTCGGAATCTGTAAGACACAAAGCTGCAACTCAGTCTCCCTGTTCCTAGCACAGGTGCCCCCTACACGGGTCTGGGCCAGGCAGGGCTCACTGCTTAGCTGAGCACCCACAACACCTGTCTCTTCTGGGTCAGGGCCCTTGGCTTGGAGCTGGGGCGCGGCACTCCCATTACTGGATTCCTCACGGAAACCTTGGACCACGGGCACCCGAGTGAATCTGAGGCGGTTACACTATCACGTGTGTCCCCATGTGGCATGCTTCGGGCTCTAGGCCCCTTCCTTGGGCACACTGTACACCGGGTACTCCACACAGCAGGACGGTGGCCGCCAGGTGCTCTCACCTGTCTGTGGAGAATCCTTCGGTCTCTGGAGGCCTGGGTTGGCAAAAGGAGTGTCATCCAGACCTGCATGGACAGAACTTGTGGTCAGTGTTGGGAACCCCCCACCACGGCCCTGACAGCTTCTCCCACCTCTGCAAAGCAGCCACCTCACTACCCTGCCTGTGTGACTTCTGCCCCTGCTCTGGCTGCAAACAGCACTCAGCTTGTTAGAAGTGAGAGGACTTGGGACCAGCAGTTGGTATAGTGGCTATGTTGCTGGACTCCCATGTAGTCGACCGTGGTTCAGGTCCTGGGTCTGGTGGCTTAAACTCATGCCAGGTGCATATGTGTGTGCGCCCACGATCCCGAGACGAGAATGGAGGAGAAGGGATTGCAGCGTAGCCATCCCCCCTGGGGGGTGATTTCTTGCTTTCTGTTTCTCTCTTTCTGGCAAGTACATGCACCCTATAGCAAAAACAAAACATAAAAGCCTCTCCACAAAATAAAAAGTGGGAGGTCTTGGGACCAGCAGATGGTGTCGCAGTTATGTTGCTAGACTCCCACATGGCCGAACACAGTTTGAGTCCCGAATGGGGTGACTTAAAACTCACGCTAGGCATGTGCGCATGTATGCCCAAGATCCTCGGAAGAGAATGGAAGAAAAGGGACTGTGTCATGGCCATCCCCCCAGGAGGTGATTTCTCACTTTCCCTCTTGCTGTCCCTGTTTCTCTCTCTGGCCAGTGCATGACCCTATGGCAAAACCAAACCAAACCAAACCAAATCAAACTAAACCAAAAAAGCTCTTAAAAAAAATAAGTGGGAGGTCCATGACTCAGCGCGGGTGCAGGCTTTAACAGTGGCACACGCTGGCTGCTAGGCCTGAGCCTGGTGCCCCCACTTCATTCTTCACACACTCCACCTTCTCTCCTTGCTCTCTCATTCGTTCATTAGTTCAGGATGTCTGCATAGAGCTCCTGTCCTGTGCCTGCCACAGGGCCACATGCTGAGGACACAGTGCCATAGTGTGGCCCCTCTGGGGGCCTCCCATGAGCTCTAGGAAGGCAAAGTGTACAACACACACCCCTGCATAATCAAAAGGCTGATAAGCACAGGGGGATTGTGTGCAGAGGCTGCCATGCATGGGGAGGGGATGGGAGGGCCTCCCTGAGGAGGTGGCATATTTGCAGGGCCCCAAGGGTGGGGAGGCAGCAGCCCTGGGGCACTCTAGCCTGTTGGATGGCCAGTGGCTGCAGGGAAGGATAGCAAGGGCCTGCAAAGACTGGGAGGTGGGCAGGGAGCAGAGCTGGCTGGGGTTCCCTGGGGAGGCGTGGACTCTGGCCCGGTGCTGGCCTTAGGGCAGGTGCACCCTGAGACACTGGACTCTCTGGTCCTGGAGGTACCTGCCTGCCTGCCTGGCTCCAGCTTTGGCTCATTCCCCAGATGTGCCAGGCACCCTGGGGCTTGTCAGAGAGAGCCCAGGTCCAGGGCACACGGGCCATTACCGAGAAGACCAGGGCCGACGGTGAGACGCCACATGGACCCGAAGCCTTAATGGGCCTGGCGGGAGGGCGAGGGCAAGGGCAGTGGGCATGGCTGTGCTGGGAGAGGGTAAGGGCTGACCCTCTGCCTGGCCGCCCATCTCCTTGTGGGGTCTGCTTCGAGAGGGCAAGGCTCCACGGTGAGCTCTCCCTGCCTTTGGCAGGCTGCCACTGGGCTCTGCTTCTTTCCTCCCTGGCAGCCTCCGGGACAGCTTGCTGCTGGGTCCTGGACTGTGGTGCCACTGCCAGGGAAATGCCCTCATAGCGTTGGTCACAGTGACTTCGGGAGCAGGGCAGCAGGAGGGTGGGGAATGGGGTGCCCCCCCCGTACCCACATGGAGACTTCATGCACCTTCTTTGAGCCCTGGCCCCTGCCTGTGTGCTCTGACACACAGCTCTGTCACACAGCTCGGGGACGTGCCTGAGAGCTGCCAGGCAGATGACCCAGTCTTGTGGCTCCCCACCCTACCTGCTGGATGCACACTGGGCACCCCCAAAGACCTCTGTGGCTCAGAGGGTCTGCTCCTGCCCCCTCCCCACCTGAGGACCCCATGCCGAGTTTCTGGAAGGAGCTGCTGCCCCTCCCTGTTACTGCTGGGCACCAGTGCTGGGCGTCTGAGCAGCGCCAGGGCGCAGGGTGCGTCCTGCCTCTTGTGGGTGAGGAGAGGACTCCAGGTGGGCCTGGTGACTCCTTGGGAGGCGGTAGTGAGTGACTGGATGTAAGAAGGCTGTGGCCATGGCTGGACACACGTGGTCCCCTGTGACCACGAGGTCGTTTCTGCTCAGCTGCACCCGGCTTGTACCCGGCTTGTACCCGTCTTCTGCTGTGCTTATCCCAAAGGGGAGGAGGGGTCTCCAGCTCTCGCTCAGGGCAGGACAGCAAGCTGGCCAGGGCCGCCCCTCACCCATCCCCCTCTGCAGGATCCCATCTTGTGGGATCTGGGGAGTCCACCACCTGTAATCCCTGGGCCAGCTCATTCTGTGGGGATGGAGCCTTGATCAGCCTTCTCTGGCCAAGACCCTCTGTGACCGTGGTTCCACCTTTCCGGTGGGATGGTGACGATTGGGGGCCCGGTCATGCAGAGAATGCAGGTCCCTCTCTGGCCCCGTCTTCGTCTCTGGCTCCTTCCTGGGTGCCCCATGGCTGTGCCTGGTGCACCCCCTACAGGTGCTTCCCCTTCCCCTCACAGGCAGCCCCCTCCCCGGAGAGCTCTTGCTGTCGCCCTCCCAGAACCAGCTGCCCGGGCTCTGTCTGGACAATGACCCGTCCCCCCAACTGGAGGCACCTTTGAAGACACTTCTGAGGCCCCTGCGTCACGGCCCCTGCGGCCCGGACTGTCTGAGCCTCCTGCCGTTTGGCCCCGTGGCCACCCCAGCCTTTCTCAGCCCGTGCACTGGCTCTTCCTTTTGCACGCTTGACAGCCCTCCCACCCCTGTGCTTTCCGGGTTGCTCTGGCCCACCTCAGGACCTCCCTCTGCACCGCACAGTCCAGGCCCTCTGACCCTGCCAACCCCGGGGCCTTTGCAGAGCTGTCACTCCAAGAGCTTCTGCTAAGATGATGGACAGAAGCCTCGCCCCTGTGCCTCATGGCGCAAGACCTGGCAGCTCCCTTGACCCTGAGCCCTGAGCTGTGGCCTGTCCACACCTCCCACTCCTGGTTCTGGGTCTGTCACCACAGAGACCCAGGATCTGCTCTGCTGCTGGGCCAGCTCCAACCCCTCCTGCCACCTGTCCCTCAGCCCTCATGTGAGGGGTGCAGCCAGAGGAGGGGCTGGGCAGGGTCCCAGTGACAGATCAGAAGGCAGCCCTGGGTGGGGCTCAGATCTGCCCCTGAGTGAAAGGCAGAGCCTGTGGGTGAGGGTGGGGCGGGCTCAGTGGGCAGCAGCCGGCCTGCGGGATGCACTGCACCCCGGGTCTGAGGCCCACACAGCGCTGCAGCCCCTAGGCTGGGCTCCTAAGGCTGTGCTCTACTTAGCCGTTGTCAGCCCAGGAGGCCTCCTGGATTGCTGAGGAGGGGTGGCAGGCCAAGGACCGAGGAAGAAGCAGCTGGTCCCTGGGAGCGCAGAGCCTGGCCTTTGGGCAGGCATTGCCCCTGTAGGGTAGACAGGGAGGGGGAGGGCCTGGTGCCCATGGCCAGCAAGAGTGGGCTTCCCCTGTGGCTGCAGCGGGCAGGGGCGGGGCAGGACGGCAGGCTGCCTTCAGCTGGCCCCTGGAGGGCATTTGGCAGAAGATCCTGGGCATCCATCCTGGGGGGCAGCTGTGCCGAGCAGCGAGGCAGGCCCGAGCCTGCGTACACCCAACGCGCTTCCCCTCCTCCAGCCCTGCGGCAGCTGCTTGGAAAACACTGCCCTCTGCGCTGACGGGCACTCTGAGGCCCGGAGCCCACCGCGGTGCCTGCTCTGTTCACAGACTCTGGACCTGGTAGAGCTGTGTTCTCCTGGGGTTTGACTCCAACGCCCACAAGCCTCTGTGGGTTGTTCCAGGGCTTGTCCTTTGCTCCCTACACCCCTTCTGGCTCTCTTAGGGCCCAGGGCCAACCAGAGAGGGGTGATCACCAGGCCCGGGCGCCCCACACACCCGCGTCGGGCTGTCCTTGGCCGCTGCTCCAGACCACGGTCCTTCCTCCCTGGCCACTACGCTCAGCTCACAGGAAGGTGGACAGGGTGGAGTGGGAGCCTCACTGTCCCTGGGCCCCGAGGGGTGAGGGACAGCGAGCCCCTCCCAGCCCCTGGTCTTGATGCCCTGAGGCTGCTGCACACTTGGGCTCTGCAGACTGGGCTGGTCACGAGCCGAGGAGGGGCCTCGGGGCCTGGGCTACCCCTCAGCCTCCCAT